AAGAACCCCCCCGAAAAATCACTAGGCTGTTGGTAAGTTACGACATGGGTTGGAGTCAAAGATCTACAGGATATAAATATGATAGCTTGAACGGGTTTGGTAGCATAATTGGCTACAACACTGGCAAAGTTCTCGATTTCTGCACTAAAAACAGGAAATGCCGCATTTGTGAAATTAATTTAAAAACGAAAACAAAGAAGGCCCACGACTGTCGATTGAATCACCATGGCACTGCCAAATCCATGGAGGCCGAAGGGGCAGTTGACTTGATCGTGAATAGCAAAATTCTTAAAGATTTGAACGCTCAAGTAGGAGTATTCATTGGAGACAATGACAGCTCCAGTATTCATGCTATACAGGAATTGGTTGATTATACGATAGTCAAGCAGTCCGACATCAATCATAGTAAGAAAGGAGTAGGCAATTTCTTATACAAGTTGAGAGACAATAAAAATATTGACGTTGATAAAGAGTTTTCCCATGATATTATAGCTTACTTGAAGAACACTTTCGCAACAGTCATTAAAAAAAAAACAAAAAATAGAGGAAGATTTGAAAAATTTAGCTTATCATGTTTTTGACATTCACGACAATTGTGGCAGTTATTGTGAATATGAAATTAAAAAAAAAAAACTATGACAACAGTCGTCACATGACTAATCCAACTCTTTTTGAACACATGAGAAATTTTTTTTCTGATTTAGCTAGCAACGCGCATTAATTCGTTCTTCCTGGTTCATCACAAGCTAATGAAAGTTTAAATAATACCATGGCAAGTTATTGTCCGAAATCTTATTCATTTAGCACTAGTGAGTCTGCAGACTACAGGTATGCTTGTGCAGTAGCGCACAAAAACTTAATCAGTGATTGGTTAAAATATCTTTCTATACTTCATAGTTAAANATAGCAAAATTCTTAAAGATTTGAACGCTCAAGTAGGAGTATTCATTGGAGACAATGACAGCTCCAGTATTCATGCTATACAGGAATTGGTTGATTATACGATAGTCAAGCAGTCCGACATCAATCATAGTAAGAAAGGAGTAGGCAATTTCTTATACAAGTTGAGAGACAATAAAAATATTGACGTTGATAAAGAGTTATCCCATGATATTATAGCTTACTTGAAGAACACTTTCGCAACAGTCATTAAAAAAAACAAAAACAACAAACAAAAAATAGTGGAAGATTTAAAAAATTTAGCTTATCATGTTTTTGACATTCACGACAATTGTGGCAGTTATTGTAAATATAAAATTGAAAAAGAAAACTATGACAATAGTCGTCACATGACTAATCCAACTCTTTTCGAACACATGAGAAATTTTTTTTCTGATTTAGCTAGCAACGCGCATAAATTCGTTCTTGCTGGTTCATCACAAGCTAATGAAAGTTTTAATAATACCATGGCAAGTTATTGTCCGAAATCTTATTCATTTAGCACTAGTAAGTCTGCAGACTACAGGTATGCTTGTGCAGTAGCGCACAAAAACTTAGGCAGTGATTATATTTTAAAAGTATTTGAGAAATTGAATTTAACGAGTCGGAAGAAACTGGTTCACTATTGTAACTACGCCAAAAAGAAGGCAATCAAAAGACTGACAGTAGCGAGTACACCTCATTTTAAGACTTTGAGAAAATTCAACAGTATTAAAAAAGAGCAACTACGAAATCAAAAAGAAAGGCAGGCAAAAAATACGTACAGTTCCAACATAACGTTGTTAGATATTTCTGTTCAGCCTGAAAATCTAATTAAAGAAGTTGATTGTGATTTAATTTACAATACTAAAGATGTTGCATACATTTTTTTTGATATTGAAACGGGAGGGTTTTCTTTCGACAAAGATGTTCTTTAAGTCGCTTTGAAAAGCGAAAAAAGTTTTTTATCCGTGTATATTACACCATGTAAAAATATAGATGCTAAGGCAAGTGCAGTCACAGGCTTGACAAAAAGTGGTAGGCAACTATTTTTACATGGTACACAAGTACCAACAGTTTCTCGGAAAGTTGCTGTTACTAAAATATTAGAATTTTTAAAGAGTTTCAATAAAAAAGTTGTTTTGATTGCACACAACTGCGAATTCGATTCCAACCGCTTCATTCGATTAGTTGAAAGTTCATCTATGTTACAGTCTTTCAAAGATATAATTCTTGGATTTGTCGATACATTGGCTTTGTTTCGAAAACAATTTCCAGATATTCAGTGTCATAAGTTATCATATCTCGGTAATAATTTATTGCAGCTGTCAACTAAAAATGCGCATGATGCTGCAGTTGATATTGTTATTTTGGAAAAGTTGACAGCTCAGTATATTTGTTGGTCAGATATTTTGAATNGTCTTCACCCGAGACTCACTAAATGGAATAACGTAGTGTGTAGTACAAAGCTGTAAAAAGTGAAAAAAAAAATTATGCTGAAAAGTAGCGTGGATTTCTTGTATCATAAAATAATCGTTAGTGTTAAAAGGCCGTTGATTTGCAGTTTCTCCCATATAATCTATAAACAGGGCTATTGATTGAAGCTGTAAAGATTTTGAGCTCACCAAAAATCCATCATTAAAAATTTCATTTCTCTCATCTCACAACTTTATTACCAGAGCAACAAAGTCCTGGAGCTTAATCTCTACGTTATTTATCGCAACAAAAAAAGAAAAACATATTCTACCTATTTAGAAGTCTGGAAGATTCAAGAGATTAGTATGAGAGTTATAGTGGAAAGCTGATCTCTCACTTAATAAATTCTTTCGTCATTTTCTTGACCCCTTAAATTGTATTCATAAGATACATTTAAAGTTTTCCTTTTAACTCGACTTCTATAACTTTTGGCATAAATGAGACTCTTGTGAGCCCTGAAGACTATTTTTTTAAAACTTTACTAGGTTGTAATATATTTGTCGACAAGGTTGTTTAAACTCCAACGAACCTGAAAAGGACTGATGAGCTTTTTAAGTAAAGACTTTTTTGACTAAAGTTTCCAGCAAACGTGACTGCCTGGATACCTCAAGTTGATCTTCTTGGGACTGCTATTGTAGCACCACACTGATCGGTAAGAAAACTACAACGTTTGAAGCTTTGGAGCAAGTTGTAGAGCTCTTTCCCAACGTCTCCTGGTATAACGTCGAAGACGGTGTCTCAAGAACCTTTTTCTTAGACTCAGTTATTTTGGTGATCAAAAGTGGAAAGGTTGGTTCGTGATGTTTGCCCGTTGGTAACTGTCCCATTGGCTCACGTTTATTATTTTTTCTTTATAGCTGTTAGGTTTTCCCAGCGCAGATCTGGAAGAGGATTGGTGATTCCCGGTTGAATGCTTAAAGTTGAGAGGGTAATATAGGGTCGTTGGTCACCGGAGTTCTTAGCCTTGCGACGAACAACTCTGCTCGTGACGTCTGCCAGTAAATGACTGAGTTGGTTTAATAGTGGCCGGTCGTACATAGTCTTTTAATTGACGAATCGTCTCCGGAAATCGTAGTAAGAATATATTTGTTGCCAAGGTAATTTAAACTAAGGTGGTCCTGAAAAGAATCGATGAAATTGATGGTTAAGTAGGAAATGTTAATACTTATAATGGCCCTGAAAAGGGCTGGTGGTGAAACTTGCAGCTATTCCTTATTATTTTTCTTGACGATGAAGAGCCAGCTATGGATATCTTGACGCTTATCCTCCGAGTCTCTGTGTAGGAGACCGTACAGGAAGAGAGGTACGCTGCTGACCAAAGAATATCTCGTCTTCAGGTGGTTCCCTGGATAACCAACCGTTCATCGGTAGTCAGGAAAGTGGGCTAGAGATTGGTGCACCCGTAAATTCCCATTCAGTCATATAAACTTGCAAACGTTTGATTATATTACAAGCACGGATTTGAACTGCAATTTGACTATAAAATACGATAGAAAAATTATGAAAAGTATCTGATAAATTGTCCAATGGTTCAACAAAATTCTTTTCAGTAAAAATTCAAAGGGTTTTTACTCATAAGAACGTATAAAAATTTTATTTACGAATAACCATGAACACACATAAAATGTATTATAGGATTACCTCATCCGATAATATTGAATATAATTCCTATAAACTCCAATAAACTATTTATTTGACTCTGAAAATATGATTTCAAAAACTGTTATTTAAAAAAAAATGGGCTTTTTACTATAAACTTTAACAAAATAAAT